CGTTTGGCCGTAGCCATTTTTGATCCCGAGTGACAGTTTAGGCGTCTACATCGAGGGTATGCCCTTTCGGGAATCTTACAAATGCGACGTATAGCCTAAACTTCGGGATATTCATGCATGTTGAGGTCTTACAGTTTGTCATGCCTATTGAGGTCTTACAGTTTGTCATGCCTATTGAGGTCTTATAGTTCTTGGGTGATGTAGAATGGACCTGGTTATACCGAGTCTGCCCGCTAAGGGTCTTACAGTTTCGGATTTTCAAGCGTATGGTGACTGACGACAGCCTCCGAGTCATCAAGTTGTTTAAGCATGAAGACCGCTTCTTGTGAGCTCGGAGTTGCCTTGTAGGGGCTTTATGAGCCTGGAGTTTCGATCCTGAGATCGCACGAGTGCCTAGTTGCAGGCATTAAGTCTCCGAGTATTTCGGAATGCATTCGGTGGAGGGGGCCCCTGCCGGGGATACATTTGAGATTTCTTTGTCCGAAGAATAAAATGCCGAGAAAATATCATTTTATTGCTTGGTATAGATGTACATTGTTTCGTCATTGTGAACTCGACCCGTGCATGCACGGCTTCTCGGACCGTTTTAGCCCAGCATATAATTCCCGATAAGGGTTTAGTCCGCCGTATCTGGGTCCTCCCGAGGGTGGATGCTCTTAGAGGCAAACCATCGTTCGTTGTTGGGATATCGGAATAAATCCCGTGACATCATCGAACCTTCTTCTGGTACGCTGTTCTTCCAATAATCTTGCTGACAAGGTTTCTTTCGGGGCGGAAGCCCGACTGAAGGGAGGAAACACGGCGGTCGCCTATATGAGGCCTAGGAATCTCCGGGTAGAGTCTTGGGAACCTCCGAATATCCTTGCCAGCTGTCTGTGTTCAGGTTAGTAAAAAGAAAACGAAGGAGCAAAGCAGTTCTTTCTTACCGTGGGGTGTGTTAGGCGATGCTCCGGGACTCGGTGTGTCCCTGTCGGCTTATTCCAGTTCTGCCCTTTGCGAGGAATCTCATTCTTTTGTCGAGATAGGATCGTTGGCGCCTTCGGGTAGTGCGTCGGTGGTCGTCTGAACAAGACGTCTATACTTTGCGCTTCCTTTGAATGTGTAAAGCCCGAGGTCCCGACTCGGACTCATGTAGGCTATATTGAGAGAACGGTCTTTTCGGCGATTTGTCATTTGGAATTCACCAAGGATTCGGGATGTGGGGGCGATTTGGTCCGTTAATGCGGACCGCCCTGTTGACCTTTGGTTCGATACCGCCGTTGTGGGTGACCGAACTTCCTGAATCTATGAACACATGTTTTATTTAAGATTAAGCGGATGAGGGAGAGGTTTACCAATGTGCTGGCGCGACGCTGGGGTGGAGTCGTGGTGCCCTTTTCTCTGGATGCTAGAGTATCCTTGGAAATATTTCCCTGGAACTGTCTTTGTCCCGGTGGCGGGTATTTTTACTCCCCATGTTATGAGTCCTCGGAGGGCGTCGCCGCTCCTCCATTGTCGCGGTGATACGTCGTGGCTTGTTTACTTCATCCTTCCCAGTTGTCTTCTTTCCTCGAGGCCAGATTTGAGCTTGATCGTTCGATAGTACTTGTCGGCGATTTTGACTGAGTAACACGGCTATCATATTTTCGAGACGGGAGTCATTCGCGGCCCCGCTGTCGCCTGCGTCCTGCGGATTCCGCGTCGGGTTGTGGTTCTTTCGAAGGGGCCTTGGTCGAGTAGGCCTGAGTCGCTCAGAGTTCCTGGTTTCGCTTATGGTGACTAGGATATTTGGCATAACAGTGTTGAGCCCGTACTCTGCCGGACGAGGTTCGTCTGCTGGCTGTGCCTCATCGGATCTGGTTCCACTGGAGGTTCCCCGAGGATGTCGCCCTCGAACTATTCCCCTACTATTGCGAGGTAGGTTGGATCTTGAGGCGTTCCTCCCATTAGCGGCGCATGGACGGTATCTCCATCCGTTTGGCATTAGTTTCTTCGTGGAAGGCCTGCTTGGGTGTGATGTTTCTGCAGAGGTTTCTGGATGGTCGCTCATGGCCCCGATTAGTGGCCGGTGCTGGATACGGATGCATGGCCAGGTCTCGGCCGATATCTGGCTAAACATTGTTTGAAACGACCTGGGGTCGGCGGGTATGCTCTGTTTAGACCCCGAGCAAAGGCCAGGGTTGTCTGTTCACCCGAAACCGGATGCGATCTCATTCGTCTTACCAGGAGCAAGATGCGACTTCTTGTGGTGTTTCTTCCTTTCTTTGTTCGGTCTCCGACTTGTCGGTTTCCGCCGCTGCTGCTTCGATGACATCGGTGTATGTTTCTGTAGCGGGGTCATCTTGAATGTTGCTGTTTTTCTTCGTGCATGCGTGAGCGGTGGTGCGCTCGTCGGGGGAAGCTATTTCCGGCGCTGCTACGCTGGGGGCCCTCGGATGGCTTTGCAACTGAGTAATGGCCAGTTGTTGTGCCTGCAATATTTCAAAAATAACATGAAGACTAACTTCTTGTTCTTCCCGGGCCGGGATTTTTTGAACTTCCTGTCAGTCGCTGTGTCGCACGCTTCTGTCGGTGTGAGAAGTTTCGTTGACTTGCTGTGCGTCCTGTGAGTCCGCGTCCGCTAGTATTGGTCCAGGTGTGTTATCGGGATCCTGTAGTGGTGCTCCGACGGCCGGGATAGCTACACCACTTTCCCCGTGATCTTCGAGTCGGTCGTTCTCAACTCTGTTTACTGAGCCAGACATTTTTACCTGAAATCAAAGGATCTTGGACAAGAAAAAGTGTGAAAGATGATATGCATTTGTGTAATGAAACTAGCAAGAGAATAATCACTATTATTTTTAGCTCCACGGTGGGCGCCTAACTGTTTACCGTAAAAATGGTAACGACAATTAAATTTGTAAAATGGGACTCTAAAAATACGTAATCTATTTCCGAGCTAGTTGTTAGAGCAGATAATGCTAATAATATGAAATTTAACGATGGAGCGTGAGTCAAAACGAGATAATGATCGAACCGGAGGGCCTGCTACCTGGATGTAGGTTTGGTCGATGGGGGCTTCGGGGTCGACCTCGAGATCGAGCTCGGGCTATCGGGGACAATCGAGGGTAGTATAACAGTTAGAGATACGATCAAATAAAGCTCTTTATAGCCGAAACTAAATTATACGATGAAGAACACATATAAAAATGGAGAGCACATATAAAGGCGAAGGATATCGAGGTATCCTCGGATCAGTGGGAGCCAATAAGTTTTTAGTAAGAAGAGAAAGAGAGAGAGAGGGATATTATTTGCACTTGTGGAGAAATGCAGTAACATCAGTCCTTTACAAGGTAGGGCGAGTCCCCTTTATATAGGAGATGAACTCAGTTACGAATACATGTATATTTAATTTACGAAATACAGAGATGTGATGGCTTGACGCGACGCCTCAGCGTAGGCTATAGATAGGCCGGCCTGTAAGACTCAACCGCGTGTCTCGGGGGCTTCCCCTCTTTGTCTTTATCTGGCCTCGAACGGGCCTTAACAAGCCCGAAGGAGAGGACTAAGTCGTGGGTTCATATCCTCGGGGTCTCGAGGTACCTCCCCGAGATAACTTAATGGTGGGAATCGGGCCCTCTAATTTCACTGCGTACAAATACTGTTATTGTGTTGATTGAATGGCCATCGATTGACTGTGCCTATTTATTATGTGTTGCTTGAGAAAGGATACATATTTAGGTAGTTGTTGAACAACATCACTCCTAACGTATGTGAGAAATCAATACATTGGGTTTAAAGGCAGGTTTAGAGAATAACAAAGCCTTGACGTGGTCATAATGAGCGGTTAGATAAAGCCAACTAGCGTAGTTCGAGAGAATATGTCTAGTAAATTGTTGTAGTTGCTCGAGAGAGAATTACAACACCTAAAGTGCTCACGATCAGTAGAGAATACATTTGCGAAATTGTAGGGAACATAGCTAGAAGGATTCCGACAATTGGGAAAATCATAACTCTAGACCTCCTTAATTTAGTCTCCAACCCTTTGTCTCGTTAGTTGATAATTTTACCGTTTTGTAGTAATTTGCTAGTTAATTAGTTAGAAATATAAATCTCAATCTTTATAATTTAGAAAATTGTTCAAACTTGTCTTCTTAGTGATATTAAACAGATATAGCTAAGCCTTAGTTCTCTGTGGGATTCGACTCCGGACTTATAGATCGGATTATATTTGCAGCGACCGCTTATCCTTTTTAGGACTAGAGTTGGGCGTGATTATGAATGACAAGAATATGAGAGAATATTATACACTTTCTCGGATCTGGTGAAAATGACAATGGATTGAATGTAAGGCTTGAATCTCTCTCAGAAAGTTGTTCTTTGTATTTATCTAGAGAGCTTACTTTTCAAAAATGTTCTTAGCTATCCTTTGCTGCTCGACCTCGACCCTGACGAGCCACTCTACGGCTTGTTCTGTTCACCTTGATCGACCTCAGCCGAACTGCTCATGATAAGTGACAATTCTCACGATAACCACCTCCTCGTGCTCAACTTCCTCGGTTGGATTTTGACCCGTATAATACAAGTGAGTATATCGGGCACCATCTAGAGCTTTCTCTAATGCAGACCAGAACAATTGACAAAATAATTATGTTTAATTATGTTTGACTTGACTTGATTACTACTTGTATCTACATAGTACAATAAACTATTCTATTCGATTAAGAACTTTTAATTATTAGTTAAGTGCATAATCCTAATTCAAATAAGAGAATTAGTATCTCTTTTTCTTTTGAAAAAGATTAATTTATTTTTTTAAAATAAATAAATAGTTGTTGGTATACGCTAGACAATACGTAATTGAATAAATACACGTACATGGATTTAGGTAAGCATAATAAGCGACAGAATCACGCATTATTTAGGCAAAATAAATAATAAGTGGTCAACTCACACCGACCAAAACCAAACAAAATAATGTTCCGCTCCAAGTGTCAGTCCATTATACGAGGCTAATAAAGTCTTTCACTACGCAATGGGAGCAGAGCTCGTAGCACATTAATAAAGCAGAAGAGTCGCTGTTTACAGTAACCAGAGGAAATTCAGACGAAGAAAAAGGAAATTCTCCTTTTCTTTTTTTTTACATATATTTTCCTCTGCCAGTTCCTGCTACGAAATCTTCCTGAAGAAGTTTTTTACATTTTTTTTTGTGTTTTTGTGAAATTGGTAGAAAGTGTGTGTGTGTATGTGTTAAATTATGATGTTGTCGCTGCAAAGCGATCCACGGCAGCAGTATCAGCAGCAGCAGTTGCTGATCTCTAGGGTTTCAAACGATGGAGTCACCCTCGGCGATCCGAGGACAGATTCGTCTTTTCCGTTTTATACTGAGTCGGCTTTGTCCTCCGTCAATATCAAGTCCGAGTTGTCTCGTGAAGGTAACAGAATTATTCAAGCTTTTTACCTTTATTTTTTATTTGGTTGATATGTTTAGTTTAGAAAATTGAGATGTTTTGTGGATAAAGATTATGTCTTTAAGTTGAATTTGATGTTTTGATGGTTTAAATTACGAATTTGTTAGTGTGGGGAGATGAATAATAAGATGATTTTGAGTAGAGACTAGAGAATTTTTGAAGTGCGGAAATTGAGTGGCAGGTGTCTCGAAATAATAAAGAAGGCTGGTTTGTCATCTTACTTCTCGAGAAATAACAGCACCATGGACAGAAGGTAACAGAATGAGGTGTAGGAGGCTAAGGTTGACTAACGGATGCAGCAGCTGTTGGAGGGGCTTGGTGGTATTACACTATTACTGGAATGAGCATAACTAGCTTTGCTTTTAATTCCAACTTATTATTCTGATAAGCTAATGGCCATGGGCTTGGGTTGACTGAGGTCATATTATACATACTAGTGTCCAACAATGACAGATGCCGTAGTCAAATTAACCACTAATAGCATAAAATTGAGATCTTTGGACTTCCCAACAATTCGTTGTATATTTGGGCATAGATTCTTCAAGTTTTTTTGAAATAAAATTCACTTATTTGTAAACTATGTGAAATGTACCATATGTCGGCATAGTTAATAATTCAAAATATTTAAAAAGAGGTTTAGAAAATTGTAGTCAAAGAAAAAACTATTTGACTCCCCAAATAGTAAGTGTCAAATAAAATGGGACAAAGAGTGTATAAAGAAGTTTTGGGGAATGTTTTGCCTGGAAAGTCATCGAAGAAAGGTTGAGAAAGTGGTCAAAAGGCTGCCAGAAGGATCCTGAAAAGAGGCGGTGTGTTGTTAGAATGCTCGCTAGGAATAGGAATGCCACTAAATGTTGAGTGAAAAGATACAATAATAGATAAATTATAAAAGAAAGAAGATTTTTTGCTGAGCAAGCGGCATATGGCTATTCGCTGGTGGTGGAAGCAAGTTAAGGTAATACCAGCATTTCAGAGGCTCTGGTACTACTATGTTAACAAGAAAGATGAGAGTAACTATGTTTAAATTTGGTGGATTGACAGCGTAGTACGTACAAGAGAGTTCCTACTATACAATTATTGAGTTACATTATATAAAAACGTTTCTTAATTCTTGAGAGTTTTACTAGCGAGCAACATATTAATTAAAAATATCCTAGTCGATATTTTTAATGATTATCCACTTTTTAAGAACCGAAACATTATTTAAAAAAAAAGAAGAAAGAAAAGAAAAAAAAGAAAAAGGAAAATAGGAGTCATTGATTCGTTGATTCATGACTTGAGGACTTTTAATTGTCATCAACTTCAGGTTTTCAGATAGCTACAGGGTTGATATATTAATTGCAACATTTACTTTTAAGTTGTGGAGTGTGCCGTCAGCTGAATATTCTTGTTATGCATGCATTGCTGGTACATGCACACACTTTCCCTATATATATATAGCTTTTGACATCTGTATTTCTCGTGTCACAGTTGACGAGGACACACTTTTAACTCTTGCTCATCAGAACTACAAAGGTGGAAACTATAAACAGGCTCTGGAGCATAGCAAGGCAGTGTACGAGAGAAATCCCCAGCGCACTGATAATCTTCTTCTTTTGGGGGCCATATATTATCAGGTATGCGTTCTTGGACAGTGCTTTATATTCACAGTGCCACCCCTATCTTGCATGTACTTATGCCCATAGATTTAAGTAAAGCATTTTAATTTCTTTGTTTTAGTTGCATGACTTTGATACGTGCATTGCAAAAAATGAAGAAGCCCTCCGTGTTAACCCACACTTTGCTGAGTGCTATGGAAATATGGCAAATGCTTGGAAGGTATGGTTGTATTAGTGCTCCTAGTTGCGAACTTTATGTTTCTGCGATTGAACATTGATACGATATATTTGGCTTCTATTGTATGCAGGAAAAAGACAATATCGATGTTGCAATACGCTATTATTTGATTGCAATAGAGGTTTGTATGCATCTTCATTGCCTTATCAGAATGTAATGATTTTCGTTTATCCTACTTATGGCGATGGTTAATAGCATGACTAAAGTCTGTGGTGCTCACACACTTTAGGGTTTGAGGCAACTGTTTTTAGATTGTTGAGGTGTTTTGGTTGGGTCCCTGGGCCCTTCTTCATTCCTTTGTCTCCAACCATTTAATCGCCACTATGGAAACAACTAATAAGTCCTGTATCTAATGCACAGGCCACAGCTGCTACAATTCACTTGTTCTTTTTATGTTATACATTCTGTGGTTTTGGATTTTTCACTAAAAGTGACCTTTCTTCTCGGCTATGCTTAACAATTTTGTTCAAAGAGGAATTTTCTGTCTGTTAACTGGCTAATTCCCAATGATTAAAAACAACTCTTACCTTTTCAAATAGATCTCAGTCAAATATACAAGTGGCTATCTGGTTATCAAAAAAGAATATATATGGGCAACTTTTATAGAAAAGAATTTATACTGGTCAATTTGGGTCCTGGAAATTCTCCATTGTCCTTTTCTTCTTTACAGAGCACGAAAGAAGACCTTTCCTTGACCATTGTGACGGGAATCTCTTTTTCCCAAGATTTATAGGGACATGTTTCCCCACTATATATATGCAACTTTAGCTTTTGGTACATTAAAACCTTGATATAGTACTATACAGCAAAGATGTCTTTTATAAGATACTTATGATTCATTTGTTGGATGACATAATCTAAGTCAAAATTTGTGTTGCAGCTGCGTCCCAATTTTGCTGACGCTTGGTCAAATCTAGCTGGTGCATATATGAGGAAAGGAAGGCTGAGTGAGGCAGCCCAATGTTGCCGTCAGGCGCTAGCTTTAAATCCTCGTCTGGTATTCGAGATTACCTATTCTTTTGGCTTCTTTTTAACAGTTCAGTTGAAATGCGTCCTTCTATGTTTTTTTCTTAACTCACTGGTATGCTTTCTAGGTTGATGCGCATAGCAATCTTGGGAATCTGATGAAAGCACAAGGGTTAGTGCAAGAGGTAAAACACAATGACTTTCTTAGTTTTCATCGTCTATGCATATGTCTGAGTTAGGTATACTCGTGCATTCTCGAATTTTACTATTCTTTAACAGATCTTTCAGTCTTGAGGTGCATCTCATGTGCGTTTCTGTTTACTACAGATGCTTTTCTGGCTGTTATGCTGATTGATTTCTGTTGTCTTGATTATGGTTTTGTTTTAGGCATACAATTGTTATGTGGAGGCACTACGTATACAACCTACATTTGCCGTTGCGTGGTCCAATCTTGCTAGCCTCTTCATGGATGCAGGTGATCTTAACAGGGCATTGCAGTACTACAAGGTATAGAATACCTTAAATCGTTTCGCATATTACATTATTAAATCCAGAGTTTTGGATTTGTTTTTGCTATTACTATTTTTGTGATTCAATCTTCTCATATCCAGGAAGCCGTCAAGCTAAAACCAAATTTCTCAGATGCATATTTGAACATGGGAAACGTGTATAAGGTAAGCCCTTCTGCTTTGTGCTAATACGGTCTATGATGCAAGTGCCGGGGCAAGAATATGGGAAATATGTGTGTCTGCCTTGCATTTTCCAGGCTCTGGGAATGCCACAGGAGGCCATTATGTGTTACCAGCGTGCTCTCCTTGTGCGACCAGACTATGCAATGGCTTTTGGTAAGTGCTCCTTTCTCGGTCTTAGCTTCATATCAATTGCTATGAAATTGCTTAGCGTGAACTTCATTTGTACAGTACTCATCTGTATGTATAGATGTCTTTTTCTTTCAGTAAGTGTATTTGTCGACGTCTTTGCACGGAATGATCACATCATACTGCTTGCCTCCTTTTTTTCTTGGGGATAAATCATATTGCAGTCATTTTGTCAACAGGCTAAAACCTCGAGTTTCCATTTTTCCCATGAAGTAGTTGATGCTCTGTTGTAATTGAGGTGAAGGATAAAGTAGCACGAAAATTATATAAGCTTGAAGCTACCTAACAATTAGAATCCCCCCCCCCCCCCCAACAAAAAAAAAAAGGAGGGAGGGAGGGAGAGCATCACAGATTTTAAATCTTGGTGATAACTGTCAACAGCTCTCAAAAGGACAAAAATTGAAATGATGTTGCAGCTCACTTTTTCTTAAACAAGTCATATAAGCCTACAACTGAATTCTTCTTTATCTTTGGGGCAAACAATCCATAGGTTAATAGTGCTCCGTGATGGTGATTGATCGTTAGCTATGTAAAAATGTGCAGGCAACTTAGCTACTGTGTACTATGAACAAGGTAACCTGGAAATGGCCATGCTTAATTATAGGAGAGCTATTACCTGTGATGCTGGATTCTTGGAGGCATATAACAATCTGGTGGGCCTTTATTTCATCTTCTGCTTAGTTTTCCAGTACAAAATTAATTTCTTTGGGTATTAATTATCCACTCTTCCCACTCTGTTGCTTTTAGGGTAATGCTTTGAAAGACGCTGGTAGGGTTGAGGAATCAATTCATTGCTATCGTGTAAGTTATATTCACTTTTGGATGGAAGTTTGCTTTCATTTTTCTCTATTTTGCTATTTTAGTAAACTTTCCAGTTGGTGCATGCAGCAATGCCTCTCACTTCAACCTAACCATCCTCAAGCACTGACTAATCTTGGAAACATTTATATGGAGTGGTAGGGTGTGCTTAATTGCATTAATTATTTTCTTTTGTTTTTACCCGCTTTTTGGGGGTTTGGAAGTAAGGAAGCACTCAGATCAAGTAATCTTCAGAGTTGTCAATCCTAATTCTGCAGGAACATGTCAAGTGCGGCTGCACAGTGTTACAAGGCAACTTTAGCTGTGACAACTGGGCTTTCAGCTCCTTTTAACAATTTAGCCATAATATACAAGCAGCAGGTACATGTTTTTATGTGATTCTTGAAGAATGATTAATTTTCATGCCTGTGAAAGAAAAGCTGTTTGAAGGGTTGTATGCGGTTGGAAAGATAGCTTGAGGGGATTATTCTCTTGGCAAATTAGGGAGTTCTCCTGTCAGGATTTTGACCAGACAAATGATAATTTCTTTTGGGAACTTATAGGGTAACTATGCAGAAGCCATATCTTGCTACAATGAGGTACTCAGGATTGATCCCATGGCAGCTGATGGACTAGTCAATAGAGGTAACACATACAAGGAGATTGGTAGAGTTAATGAAGCTATTCAGGACTATATGCGAGCCATTACTATTAGACCAAATATGGCGGAGGCTCATGCAAATTTGGCCTCATCTTACAAGGACAGGTTCATTGTAGTTCACAAGCTCCAAACAGTTGATAGTCCTCTCTCACACATTTGTATATGTCCATTTTGCTCGGTTGTAATGCTTTTGTTAAATCTTCTGTAGTGGAAATGTGGAAGCAGCTATAAAAAGCTATAGACAAGCTCTGATGCTACGTCCTGACTTCCCAGAAGCAACTTGTAATCTTCTTCACACGTTGCAGGTATCGTCACCCATTAGTTGCCATTGTTTTCGTAGGCCAGGTTTATCAAAGAGCATGGATATTTCTTGCCTTGCTTAATGTCAGCTTGATAAACTTTACCTGCAAATGTTAAGCTCATAATATAATATATCTGTTAATGGACTGTGCTTGAAGACAGTTTTCAAAAACTGAACTACTTTGTTTATATAGATGACAGTTTCGTGCTGTGCTCTTTTTTCCTCAGTTCTTATGAAGCTTTATGTTAAGACTGTTTGATCTGTCTTGTGCTCATTCTACCTCTGATGCCGATTTACTAGTTTCGAAGGAAATACTTAAGATAAGTCCAGTACCTAGTGTTGAAGGAAACTTAGGTAATTTCCATGCGTATCTCGTGCATGAGGAACAGTAGTTAGTTTCATAAGACATACTTATTATGTCTGGCATACTTATTATGTTTGACTTCTTACTTCCTAGTGTGTCTGTGATTGGGATGATCGAGAGAAGATGTTTATTGAAGTTGAGGGGATACTGAGAAAACAGATTAAGGTATTTCAGCCTCTCATTAAGTCATAGCATGTTGGTGTTGCAAGCCATATGTTGATCCCTGTGATACTGATTCATGTTTTCCTTGATTATTTGCTCCATTGCAACATTATCTTAGATGTCAGTTATCCCAAGTGTACAGCCTTTCCATGCAATAGCTTACCCTCTCGATCCACTGCTAGCTCTAGAGATCAGGTGAGCAATTTTCTTTTGGATCCTATGGAAAAGAATGATGTGACTTTTTAACTTACACTCTCCTTTGATTTTACAGTTGCAAGTATGCCCAGCACTGCTCGGTAATTGCAGCTCGCTTCTCACTTCCTCCTTTCAGTCACCCTCCTCCATTGCCAATAAAGGGTGGCGGCAGGAGTGGTCGGCTTAGGGTTGGGTAAGTCTCTGACCAGCTCTCTACTTGCTTCCATCTTCCTCGAACACTACTGTTACTGTATAATGAGATTTTTTAAATGCGTCTAGATACGTGAGTAGTGATTTTGGCAACCACCCATTATCGCATCTGATGGGTTCAGTGTTCGGCATGCACGATAGAGAAAATGTTGAGGTTTGGACAATATATCATTTTAAGATGCATTGGTGCTATTACGGATTCCCCCTCCCCTCCACCCGCCCTTCCTGGTTCCTGCTAATTCTATAAAGACTCCTATTTCCAGGTGTTCTGCTATGCTTTGAGTCCAAATGATGGCACTGAGTGGAGGCTCCGCATCCAGTCAGAAGCAGAGCATTTTATTGACGTATCGTCCTTGACATCTGATGTGATAGCTAGGATGATTAATGAGGATCAAATACAGATCTTAATCAATCTCAACGGTTATACTAAGGTAAGATATCGGTACCTTGTTAATCTTAATGGGATCATTTTCTTGTTCTGTAGCTGATATTCATATGCACCCCGGTAAAGAAGAAAAGAGAAGAAAAGCAATAAAAGTGGAACGATATTTGTTGGAAATATTCTTCTGAAATGTGAAGATCAGGATCAAACTTGGATAAGCATTGGGCTATGAGTATTTGGAAAATGTTAACTACAGGAATTCTGGATGGTCTCATGTGCTTTACTTTTGTTGCATAAGACCTTGTATTTATTGTTTTGAGCATCACTGAAGTATTACTTCTTTCACCTTTTCCGTTGCTAAATTATCTGCTGGTGCATTGCTTTGCATTCTAGGCTGATAAGTTTTGGTAATTATCTGACATTGCTCATCTCTTTTGTTTTTGTTTTGTATTTAGCGAGAGGTAACAATTCTGACAGTGCTCATATTTAACCTTATATTTATGTTTTGTAGGGAGCCCGAAATGAGATCTTCGCAATGCAGCCTGCTCCCATCCAGGTTTCATATATGGGGTTCCCTGGAACTACTGGAGCTAAGTATATACATTATTTGGTTACTGATGAGGTATATACACTTTTGTTTTGTATGCATGCCATATTTCAACTACACAGTACTCACATATTTAGACTTACATTGTTTGCCCTTCTTTCTTGTCCTTGACGTTGCTTCTCCTTTATGCTTGGTAGTTTGTATCACCTACGCGGTACTCACATATTTACTCAGAGAAGCTTGTCCATCTTCCTCATTGTTATTTTGTCAATGATTATAAGCAAGTAAGTTCTTGAGCTCAAACTTCTGAGATTCTTATCTTGAATTATTTGTAATTTTTCTTTTTTCAAATGTTGATGGTTTTCTTGCCACTGTCTAGAAAAACCTTGATGTGTTAGATCCAAGCTGCCAACCCAGACGCTCGGATTATGGGCTGCCAGAGGACAAATTCATTTTTGCTTGTTTTAATCAGCTCTACAAGATGGATCCTGAGATTTTTAAGACATGGTAGTATTCAGATGGCTTTGTTGTTGGTATACTGTTCTCTATGTCCACTTTTGTTATAGTCTCGAGTTCGATGTTGCAGGTGCAATATTCTTAAGCGTGTACCAAACAGTGCTCTTTGGCTCCTCAGATTTCCAGCTGCAGGAGAGATGAGGGTTCGTGCACGTATGTATCCCTTTCACATACCTTCTATAGTTCCATTACTATAAGCTTTGTCTGATGAGGCTTTTAAAACATTATTCTATGTTATTGGGAATATCCTTAATAGTGTTTTATTTTTTTTCCAGATGCTGCTGCACAAGGTGTGCAGCCAGACCAAATTATTTTTACAGATGTTGCAATGAAACAAGAGCACATCAGACGCAGCTCCTTGGCAGATCTTTGCCTCGACACGTTAGAACACTACAAACTTTGTTGCATCTTTCCTTTTCAATATTCTGTGTCCGTTCAAGTTCAACTCATGCTGATGAATTTTGTTTCTTTTTTTTCATAGGCCACTCTGTAATGCACATACCACTGGAACAGATGTACTCTGGGCTGGTCTACCGATGATCACCCTTCCCCTTGAGAAAATGGCAACTAGAGTTGCTGGTTCGTTGTGTTTGGCCACAGGGGTCGGTGAGGAGATGGTTGTTAGCAGGTACCTGTTTTGGACTTGCCTGCTTCTATGATGTTATGACCCTTGCAATTTGCAAACATGTTTCTTTCTTAAGTTGACATTTCCACTGAATTGCATTTTAGAAGCTCTTATTCTTGATACATGTGAACTCTGATCTTGTATGGCCGGCAGTTTACTTTAATATTTTTATCTTCAAAATAAAAAACTATGCTTACAGTAAGACTGAACAATTTAGAATAATTTTATTCTGCTTGAAAAAATTGCATTGTGGAAAGGGCATCTACCTAGTTTAAATCATATAAAGCTAGTCTCATATGGGATGACCCGTGTTGAAACAAAGAGAAGGATGGCTTATTTTCTTATCTGTGTGTCTACCTTTTTGGGCTTGTTCATGTTTATTTGCTTTACATTTTACAGTATGAAGGAGTATGAAGAGAAGGCAGTGTCACTGGCACTGAATCGTCCCAAGCTCCAAGATCTCACCAATAGACTCAAGGCTGTTCGTCTGAGTTGCCCTCTGTTTGACACAGGACGCTGGGTGAGTGATCCAACACCATGATACACGACTGTTATATTTCTATGCTTATGAAGTCATGTACCTTAGATTTGCTGATCTGCGTTACGATTGTGCTATGCTTTACTGAAACACTGGTTCTTTCTATGCACCATTAGGTACGGAATCTGGAGCGATCTTATTTTAAGATGTGGAATCTCTATTGCTCTGGCCAACATCCTCAGCCGTTCAAAGTGACAGAGAACAACATGGAATTTCCTTATGACCGCTAGATGTAAAAACAGTAGTCTAAACGGGATTGTAGATAAATGAAAGAGCATGTGAAGAGCTATTTATTCTAAATCAGTGTCTCGCTATTATGGTATTCAATGGTGAGTTTCAGTCTTATCTTTTGACGTTGAATTTGGAACTCTCATGAAGTGTATTAGTTGTAATTAGAATACCCATTCTAGCTGTCCAAAAACTTGAGTTTACCCTTTGTCAAAGGTAAAAACACAGTTACATGGCCGCACTACCTTTACCTAAAAAGACCCAATGGTGAAGCAGTTACGCAATGGTTCGAAAGGAAGGATCATTATTCCCACTTTGGGTAGTTAGTTTGCATTTTTACGGAGGTGAATGATTCGTCTTGATTGTATTTATTTAGCTACAAGCATTTGTTGATGTTTACAACTTGACTTTTTGCAGGCCTTAGCTGATGGATGATCCTGGTAAAATCATTGAAAAGTGATTAATTTGTTAATTGAAAGTTGCTACTGAGGTTTACAGAGATATGAACAGTTACAGAGGTCCTCGAAAACACGGTTCCTCAAGAATATGAAGTAAAGGACATAGGTGTAGTAGTCTGACTAAAATAAACAGAAATGATGGTTTACCCGTTGTGAAGAGGAGGTTTACCCGTTTGGTATCAGCCACCTACCGACCCTGACTAATGGCGAGTTGCGTCGCCTAGTGGAGTGGCTCCTTATCATGAGTTTCTTACCCGAGACCTTAGGTTAAGGACGAAGGAATTTTATTCATTTCATCATTTTGGTCATGAACTTGTCCAACATTACGATGAAACAAACACTAGATGCGTTGCAAAAGGTAAGTCTCCTGCCGTTCCAATGGAGATGTCCAAAGATGGACTTGTACAAAAATGTAGGTTACAACCGTTGCAAAGGGCGATTGCAAGGTGATTAACCAAGATCTCGGCAGCGCATTCTGCTGCTTTATTTAAAGATCGTATTACTGGAATTGTGCTTAAATGCTAACACACCACTAGTTACATGAGTCAAGACCCCGAAATGATTTCACGTGAGCAAAATGTTTATAACGTGTAAGCATTTATATATGATTTATATATCAAATTCCCAAGAATATGGGAGTTGAAAAACGAAACAAAGAGAACGTGAAAATCTGTTCGAAAATTTTTGCTGTCCTTTGCATGATTCTACTAGAACTTATTGAAGTTCTTTGCATGACTTATCCACGTTCTTTGAACTTTTTAAAAAGTTAAGACTGCTGCCATATACTAGCCAAATTTGGAGCATCCTTAAAGTCAAGATTTTGGTTACCGTAGGTGTATAGGTCGAGGGGGCAACGCGTAAGATGAGTAGGGGTATAGTGATTGGGGGGGGGGGGGACCACTTTTTGGTTGTGATGAGGTTGTACCAAGGGGTGGCTCTCAGTCCATTTTTATTTGCCTTGGAGATAAACACACCGACGCGCCACATTCAAGGGGAGGTGCTATGATGTATGTTATTTGCAAATGATATTGTACTGATTGATGAGACGTGAGACAGTGTTAACGCGAGATTGGAGGTTTGGAGACAGACTCTGAAGTTTAAAGGGTTCAAGTTGAGTAGGACCAATACCGAATACTTGGGGTGCAAGTCCAGTGACGGGATCGGTGAAGCAGACATAGACATGAGGCTTGATACATAAGTTATCCCTAAGAGAGATAGTTTGAAGAACCTTGCGTCTATGATCCAAGGGAATGTGAAAATTGATGAGGATGTTACACATCGTGTTGGAGCGGAGTGGGTGAAGTGGAGGCTCGCATCTGGCATTTTATGTGATAAGAATATGCCACCTAAACTTAAAGGCAAGTTCTACAGAGCGGTGGTTAGACCGACTATATTGTATGTGGTTGAATGTTGGCCAGTCAAGAACTCACACGTCCAGAAGATAAAAGTGGCAGAAATGAGGATGTTGAGATGGATGTGCAGGCATACCAGAATGAATAAGATTAGGAATGAAGATATTCGGGACAAGGGGGAGTGTCTCCGGTGGAGGACAAAATGCGGGAAGCTAGGCTTATGTGGTTTGGGCATGTAAAGAGGAGAAACACACATGCCCCAGTAAGGAGGTGTGAGAGGTTGGCCCTGGTGGGATTGAGAAGAGGTAGAGGTAGGCCAAAATAATTTAGGCATCATATTGCGTTAATCCTAAAGTCTATAAAAATATACATGAACAAGAGGAAGGATTACCTAAAAAGGAGTGGATAAAGAAGAATTTGAGGTATATTGGAGAGTTTGAAACTCGGTGAGCTCTACGATTATATTTTTCTAGCTTATCGTAGAGCTTTTTCGCATTGTAAGAAAACTTAACATGTGGTCGAACTAAATCTCACTTTCTAAGCTTCAACTTTCTATCCAGTCTTCTCCATGTAATCTTTCTATGTTGACTCTCAAACTTCAACTTGTGATATGAAGTTATTGGTGTTAGAACTTCATGAAAATTAACCAACCCCATGCCTGGCTTTGAATTAAGCATAGAGATCAACGCTCCTCTTAGGAATGCATCAATTGAAACGCTTGTAGACCAATAGTCACTTTGATGATAGCCATAATATATTTACGACGGAAAGACATCTTGTTTCTCCAATATACCTCAAACTCTTCTTTATCCACTTCTTTTTAGGTAATCCTTCCTCTTGTTCATGTATATTTTTTGACACAACAAGGGCGGCTCAAGCACATTTGAGGCCTAAAGCTAAACTTTAATGTGATGCCTAGATTTTCTTAAAAGATATATATTATATATTTTTATTTGAGGTCTATTTTTCTAACTTTTTGAGATGTAAAGTTGTTAATAATTTTTTTATAATCGATTTTTTCAACTTTGTAATTGATAATATAGCCAACTTATTTAATCTTTCTTGAGGCATGTAAGGACCCGACTGGTCGTTTTGAGTATCTGCACTTCGCTCGGTGTTTTGAGGGCTCGAGTATCTTCGCATGATGTATTATGACTTGTGTAAATCATCGGTGTTGGTTTTCAAGTTATCCGGAATCGATTTGGAAGAATGAACTTCAAGATTAAAGCTCTAAGTTGGAAGAGTTGGCCAAGTTTGACTTTTTAGCATTCGACCTCAGAATGGAGTTCCGTCGGTTTCGTTAGCTCCGTTGGGTGATTTGGACTTATGAGCGCCTCTGGATTGTAATTTGGAGCTTCGTAGTCGAATTAATCTTGAATTGGTGAAAGTTGGTTTTTTGGGAAGTTTGACCGGGAGTGGACTTTTTGATATCGAGTTTGAATTCCGATTCCGGAAGTTGGAATAGGTCCGTAATGGCAAATGTGATTTGTGTGCAAAATTTGAGGTCAATCGGAGGTGATTTGATAGGTTTCGGCATCGGTTGTAGAAGTTGAAGTTTCAAAGTTCATTGATTTTGACTTGAGGTGTGATTCATCGTTTCGAGGTTGTTATGCGTGATTTGACCAACCGAGGATCGCATTTGCGAACCCCCTGTCGCAAATGCGACCTCTGCAACATGTTAAGTGCTGAGAATTCCGAGATTTAGCTTCATTTTGATATATTTTGAACCCTAGCTTCGAGGAGAGGCGATTTTGTGAAGGGATTTTCATACCAAATCATTGGGTAAGTATCTTTAATCATTTCACAACTATATTTCATGATTTTATATAAAGTTTAAGATCAAATTCATGAGGAATCTATGGAAAAATTTGGGGATTTGAGAGTCGAATAGGACTGAGATTTTAAAATAAAACATATATTTGGACTCGTGAGGCTATGGGTAGTCAAGACCTACCCTTGGACCCGGGTTTTGTCCGGTCGGGCCCGGGGTTTGACTTTTGCTGACTTTTTAGAAATCTAATAAAAATTACAACTTTATTAATTGAAATTATTTTCTCTTGCATTGTGTGATGTATTCAAGTTGTCATTGGCTAGATTGAGCCGGGCGGAGGCGAATTTGTAAAGGAAAAAGGCTAGATTGATGTTGAGCTAGCCAAATTGAGGTAAGTGTTTTGGCTAACTTTGTTGAGGGAACTTTTCCTCCTATCTGTCATTGTTTGCTATATGCGGGGGTGACACATATATGAGGTGACGAGCGTATATGTATGTGCCAGGGTTAATCATGCTCGGGGGTGGGGGTGGGGGGTGGATTATGTTACATTTATGTTTGTAGAATTTCGTGACTTTCTTGTTTCATGCCTTACTTGACTCTTAGATAATAAGAATATAGTATTAAATGTTAGAAATTAAGACTTAACTTATTATAACTTGATCAAATTTGACGGAAATTCTGAGTATACATAGACGTGTCTAATCCGGTCATCACTATGCGTAATCATTACTACATTACTACGGCCGATATTCTTGAGATACTAGACTCTATACTTGTGTTGTGGATCATTTGTTAGATTTGTGAAAGTATTTGAATAATACGATTCTTGAGGGTTGTTGAATCATTGTTGACTTGGAAAGTTGTGATTGGGATTTGTTTAGAATATTCGTTAAAGCACTCTCCTTGATGTTATTTATGCTTCCTACCTTGTTTGTCATTGATATACATATGCTTGGTAAGGAAGAGTGTGAAGCACGAAGGGTGATACCGTGCCATTGTTTATACATTATCATGTGAGGGAGAGTGTAAAGCACGAAGGGTGATGCCGTGCCATATTATTAAGAGTAAAAGCACGAAGGGTGATGTCGTGCCATTTTAATTATACTGTTATGCTTTTATATCATCGTGAGGTCATGGCACGATGTGTGTTTCCGTGCAGGTGAGGATGCGGGACATGCATTGTGATGTGATATCTGTTTTCTGTGTATATGTTCATGTCTTTACCTTGAGCTGTTATTGTCGTAATCTCAGATCTGATGTGACTTGTTGCTATTGTTCTGTCATTTGTCTCTATATCAATTGTTGTTGTGTCGCTCATATCTTTTGCTTGTTTAACTTGCAAATATCATGCCTATTTTCCTGCTTTTATAATTACACTAATGTCATATCTATTCTGTTGCATTTTGGTACAAGCCTTCCACCAAGCTAGTCATTCATGCTTCTACTTGTTAACTTGTAAAGATCATGTGCTTCTTTCTTGTTTGTTATATCTGTACTTAAGCCTCCATCATGCTAGTTAGTTGAAGTTGATATTCTTTGTTCCCAATTGTTGTCATCACTCATATGCTTTCCGCCTAGTCTTTTACGGTTGTCCATATAGTTATCCTTGTTCATTGTTGCTACTTGCGTATTTCCTACCTTGTGATTTCTGTTATCGGTATTTCTGTCATTTGGTTGGCTCTATTACACGTATATTAGGTGAGGATGGGATAAAAGCACGAAGGGTGTTGCCGTGCAGTTGACTTGATATCTGAGTACATACCTCATGCTATGAAAGTTAAGAATTGACTGTTGTGGTTTATTGGTTTCATTCTAAGGGAAGAATTGGTCGAGGTTTTTGAAAATGCCAAATTGTGATCTCTGTTAACACTCGGTTATTGTTTTTGCGTATTCGTTTCGTGTGTTCTTCTCGATTATATTGTGGTATTGTTTTATTGCTGATTCATAGTGCAGGTTTTATCAGTAAGCATCTTTTAACTAAAAAGCCTCGTCACTACTTCGACGAGGTTAGACAAAATACTTACCAGTACATGGGGTTGGTTGTACTGATACTACACTTCTGTACATTGCGTATAGATTTTTGGAGCGGAACTGCTGCTGACGTCGGGTGCTGACTCTGAAGATGTTCGTGCTTTCCGGATATAGCTGCCACTTGTCCTTGGTAGCTTAGGTTTTGCTAATCTGTTTATGTAACTTTCAAACAGAACGTGTAATTACTTGTATCAGTTTGCCAATTCTAAGTCTTAGAAGCTCATGAGTCGTACTACCAGTTCTTGGGTAAATTTGTAAATGTTTAGATAATTCTTTTCTTTTCCTATAATCTCTTTAGGACTGTATTTTCTGTTAGTTGGCTTACCTAGCGAATCGAGTTAGGTGCCATCACGACCAGTGACTTTTGGGTCGTGACAAGGTGGTATCAGAGCACTAGGTTCGTAGGTTCTACGAGTCATGAGCAAGTGTCTAGTAGAGTCCTGCGGATCGGTATGATGACGTCCATACCTATCTTTGGGAGGCTACAGGGCATTTAGGAAAATTTTCCTTTCTTCTCTCCTTATCGT